GTGGATAAATGGTCAGTGATCATTTTTAATGATCTAGGATGGGTGAGACTTAATTTTTATTCAATACACCTCCTCATGCCCAGTACTATTGGGTTTGATACGTGTACTAATGGTGAGTGACTTTTTTAGAGTGAATTTAAATAGTTTTGATATAATCTTAGAATGTGGATTTAAATTTAACTCGACTAACAAAACTTGCTTGTAAAATGATGATTGTCTCTTATTTATATACTTTTTAATTGTCTTATCTTTAGTCAATGTGAGACTTAAATTTTTTCCGCTACTCTTATTAGACCTAATGGTGGGAGGAGAAAAATGTTGGAATAATATAGATAGGATTCTAAATTTAAACTTTGGTATCATCAAGGTAATTATAATAGATAAAAAAAAAATCTCTTATTAGATTAAAAGACTTTTAAAATGACACATAGACTAATTTTTTAATTAAATAAAATTTGCTAAAAATCTTTAACTAATTTATTCTTAATTTAAAAAAATTGGCACGAGTGAACTAGATCATAAACCTCTATTAGACCGTCTAACTTGATTTTCATCCTTTGTGAAAAAGTGCAAGTGTGACATCACATAGAAATCAAGGAAAGTGTAGAGAGGAGGAAAAAAGATGTAATCAATTCCTGAGGAGGAAAAAAGCTACTAGCGCTTTGGAGCATTAATTCATTATAATTAATTTGTAGGTACCTACAAAACTCCATATTCTTTTGGTGTTTATTATTGTAGCTGCACTTTATTTATTTATTTATTTTTATTATAATTATATTATGAAATTAATTTTATTAATAATTAATCTTTATCATATAATTTGATTGTTTATCTTTAATAATATTTTTTCTATTATGTTTCTTTTATTTATAAGACTCAAACTTAAAATCTATTTAGGAGAATTTTGGTGTTTATTATTGTAACTACACTTTATTTATTTATTTATTTTTATAATAATTGTATTATGAAATTAATTTTATTAATAATTAATCTTTATCAGATAATTTAATTGTTTATATTTAATAATATTTTTTCTACTATGTTTCTCCTATTCGCTTGACTCAAACTTCAAATCTATTTTAAAAGAATTGAGCTCATTATTACTTGAACTAACAACTTTTTAATTATTTATTTTTTTATTAAAAAAAACTTTGTCAAATCTTCTTGAATTTTATTACTTAAATTTGAAGATATATTATAAAAAAAAAGTTAAAATGCTCAAGAATGATTAATTTTTCTAATACATATTTCTTCTAGATTGAAACTCAAAATTTGTATACATATATTAAAAATAACAATAAATATTTATCAAAACATTAAACTGAATCACTGTATAACGAAAATAATATTTCACAACATAATTTCTCGAACATGGCATTATTTTGCAAATACCATAAAGTCATGCACCGAATACCTCCACTAAACTCTAAACGGCAAAAGTATATAAGTAAAGATGTATTTAATGTTAATTTAAATCAAAATATTTCATAAATTTAATCAGCGTTAACTCAAAGGTACACTCTCATTAGTGTATTTTATAGATTTTCTTATATGAGAAAAATAGTTTTTTTTTCTTCTTTTAATTACTAAGCACACTCATCTCGTATGTTTAGCAAATCACATTAATTTGTATAACTCTCTCACTTAATTCTGTTGGTACTGATTTTATTATTTTGAGAGATTAACTAACGATGCCGTGAAGTGGAAGGCAGTGGTAAATCAAGAGTAAACACCGCTGATTTTAGTCTATAACTTTCTTATCATATTATTTTTAATAAATGTGTGGGACAAAGCCTCCAAATCATGAGTAATTGCATTTTTTTTAATTTCATTTCTGCCTTTTTTTAATTACAGTTTTGTCTCATCATATTCGGTCCTCTCTCTCTATTATTTTCTATTTAAAATATTTTTGTATTCTTATAATTTTTCTCACTTTATTTTTTAGTCTTATAATTAAAAATAAAAAATTTTAAAAATTTATATTTATAATTTTAATCTTTTTTTAGTTATTGTCGTTAATTTTTTTATAATATTATTTTATGTGAGTAACATGAATTTATTAAATTCACCTGATAATGTTGTATTAAAATTTTCATTTAAAAGTTTATTACGCATGCATCAACAATTAACCATTCATTTCAATCATATTCAATTATAATAAACTTAATTGTCCACAATATACTCAAATTTTTTTGTCCACAAAATCAAATACTTTATCGCACATGTATTTAATAAGTCCATATCACTCTTATAAAAATAATACTATAAAAAATTTAAAAATACAAATACAAAAAATGAATATTTTTATTTTAAATTATAAAAACTAAAAAATAAAATTAATGAAATTGTAAGAAATAAAAAAAAAAGGATTTTAATTTTTTTTCTCTTCTTACACATTAACACAAAAAATAAAATACAAGTTGAAAATTTTCGGAACCGAAAGATCCACGTCACTACATTATATCAGATAAATAGTAGCATTTTCTCAGCAACTTATGATGTACGAATTTTCTTTGGAAAAAATAAATTTCCAAATAAGGGAACTACATGGTGCCAAAGAATTAACAAGAGATTCATCCAAGTCTCTAAAGCGCATAAAGTATTATTAATATCTTATTCGAGAAAACAAAAAAAATTATGTTTAATATATAGCAAAACTGTATATAATAATAATAATATATATATATATATAACAGATTGATGTTAAGTTTATGATATCCAACACACGCGCGTGAATATATAAATATAATATTAAAATTCATGCGGGTCAGAGCTCGACAGCTAATGATATCCAATAATTCAGTGTTATCTCACCCTTTTTTTTTGTTCTTTTCTTTTTGAGTTTTTTTTTTTTTTTTTTACTTTAAACTTTAAAGTATGTCAGATTGATGATTTTCTATTCCAGTTTCCCTGATTAGGAAAATTTCTTCTTCCCCTGTCTGAGTTCTGTGTCAAGTTGAAGAGAATATTCTTTCCAATTTTATATATAAATGGCTTCTTAATTCTTATCTTGTCTGGGATTTTAAGAAAAGTAATAGAAAAGATGCAGAAAGCAACTATAAGGAGGTAATTAAGCTGTAAAGGAAAACATAAAAGAACAGAAAGAGTAGCACCACAACCTTAATTTCTGCTTTACCTTTAATTAATATATTATACATATGTATATGTATACATTATATATGTATAATATATTAACGATATAAACAGGTTTTGTTGCAAGAATTTGTTATTAATTTGTAAATATTAGTATTCCTTTGATTTCTTCTTCACAGAAGCGATTATTTGTTGAAGGAAATAATGATAGAAAATATTAATCAAAGAATATTTGCCATTGGCACCATATAAGTTATTGTTTGGTCAATATATAATTATAGATATTGAGATAAAATTTGAACCGACAAATTGAGTTTGTGGATGATATGGTATTGACAATGAAGAAAAGAGCGTTTGTTTAACGGTTCGAATAAGTTAGTGTGTAATTAATTAAAGAAGAAATAAAAGCAATGAACTTTAATTTGATATGTACAAAAAACTATTGCACATGTGAAGACCATACATGCCGGTGGGATGGTTGTGGAGTTAATGAAATTTTAATAAAACCATATTATAAAATTAATAATAAGTGAAAGCACTAATGCGCCCAATAGTTAGTTGTGTATAATAAAAGTTATGGTTAAAAGGGGTAGGTTAATTATTGAGAAAAAGATGTTTTGTAAAATACAGATACAAGGCTATGGTAATGAAAAGGGTTAGCACGAGCGTACTAATAGAATAATTTCCAAATTTCGTAGCTTAAAGCTATTATCTATGCGTCTACGTGACCAAAATGGCCTAAATATAACTCAATTTTATTACTTTTGTAGAGGGAGAGTCAAAATTTTAAATGAGTGGAGACAAAAGGGGAGATGAGAGAATTCAATATCTACCAAAATGGAAACTAAGATCAGAAGAGTAATTTGCAGCACCCAACGGATTTCAACAGATAAGGGATAACATGCATTATTTCTGATAAAAAACAAAAATTTGGAAAAAATTGTTCTTTCCACGTAATGATGGAACTTTTCAAAGAAATCATGACATGGATGAATCGCACATAAAGCTCAAAGAGTAAAGAATGGATAGCTCCTATTAAAATTTTTTTTTTCAGACACAAGTTTTCCAAAGGGGTATTTCGCATTTCGCTTTTCACAGACATGGACGGGCTCATACTGTAGCGTGTGACAATGAAATTTTCCTTTCTTTTTCTTCAGGAGATAGACTATATAACAATTAATTCAGGTTTTTGAATCATTGAGGACTCAAGTTAGTTAGTGAGATAATTTCTGTCGCAACTTTCTAAGATTAATTTCTGACTATCAAATTTTTTATCTTCAGTTACAAGCATTTTTTTTTCCCTTCACTTGATTATAATAATATCATCCAAGGTGTCCCACCATTCCTGCTAGAGACAT